CAAGTTATTAAAATGCGTAAGTTTAATATGTTTATCACCGCTATTTGTGTTTTATTCCTCGTTAAACAATATTTAATTGTGTACAGCGACCAAAGTAGCCAATGAGCTTTCGAGTTGGTCACTGTCATGCAGATATAAGTTGGCGTTGGCCGCATGCTAAGTAAATTTAAATTAATATTTATATTAAAGACGATATTATTTTATGTCAAACTCTCTTTTCTTGTATCGAGTTAATTTGAGAGTTTCTCAAAACCAGCAATGCTTAATCACAACCCAGATCTGTTTTCGATAGTTTCTTGTTGTTTCTGCTTGTTTGGCGAGCTTACAGAATGATAAGTAAAATTTTGACATTTATTTTGTCTTATATCTACTTCAAATAGTGTCTTAGTAAGTATATTCACAGAGGACACAAGACCCGCCGCAGAGTTTAATCATAAACTGAAGAATTTTCAGAACCTCCCGACAAAATAAAGAAAGACAGACCTATAAGTTCAGTCTTTATCAGATGCATGTTTTCGTATCGCAACGGTTAAATCGTTTTCGTACTGTAAAATCTACACTAACGTGTAGCTGTTACTAGCAGTATTATCTTTCGAGATATGCTAGAGAAAAAAGTTATTTACACGAAACAATTAGCACTGGTGTATTATGAAGTTGTCTTTATCACGCTGCGACCCGATGGGGCCGGAAACATAGCACGAATTAAAATTGACCTTTAGTTTTGAGAAATCTACTTTCTCTTAGCTACTGCGCTCGATTTTCGCGTCGTTAGCGCTCACATAAGAGCGCTAAACTCAAGCTAAACTCGACAGCGAGCACGGTGACCTGTATTTTTTATTGCATAATTTTGGTGTGCAAACTATCCGCTTCAAGTTAGAAATTGGGAAAAAAACTGTTCAGAAAGAAAAGATTTAGCTAAAAGAGTGCACAAAACCGTTACTCGAAGATGCGAATTATGACTTCGAAACAACGATTCCAGGAACGTTTTGAGTCAATGTCGTTTAGAATTGTGTGTGACTTTTCCATAAATTATGTATTACAATGTTCCAAGTGCCCGATACTTTCTACCTATCAATTGTTTTGGCTTAACCTTTGCTTCCAGCTACCGCAAAATGTGACGTGAACTGATCAAACAACGCGCATGGTTAGGCATAAATGGGGCAAGATTGGCCCATGATATCTCTTAAGCGAGCATTGTGACCTATCCTTCTTAATGTATTTTTCCAAACAGTGGAATTGACAGAGCCATTAGCCCGTTACATAATAAAGTCAGCAACTGGTAGTTTGGAAAACATGGCATCCCGGAAACCGAGATACTCGAAATACCCGGAATACCCGGAATACCCGGTGACTGACGTTTCGACAACCAGCGCGGAAGTCATCTTCAGAGTCAAGTGAACAGTGTTTGTCAGTCGATGTTATAAGTCTGGTCCGTTGACTTGACTGGTCAGTTTAACCATGTTGGTATTGGCTGAAAGACTCGTGTAAAGTTTGTCATCAATCATTGATCGATTTCGATCCGTCTATTGTTAGTCAAATTGGCCGGTTTTTTGGTCCGTCTTTTGTTATTCAAATTAAGTCGGTCTGTTAGAAGTCCGTTTGTCGGTTTCGTTTCCGTCGTGGATAAGTCGTTTGTAAGGCGCCGGTAGTTGTTTACATCTGTTAAGAGGCGTTTGTTCTAGGTTAGTGTACCAGCTTTCCAGAGTCAGTCGTTGAAAATAGTTTGTACAGTCGGTTAAGCACTGAGCAGAGTCCCAATCAATGCTGTGGTTTGTCAGTTGATGATGTACAGCAAAGTGATTGTTGGCATCACCATTTCTCGTGGCTCGTTTGCGTTCAGTCTGCCAGTCTCAACAATGTAGGAAGCCTGGCAGTCGGAGCATTTGATCTTGTAAACTGCTCCCTGTCTATTGTTGGGTTCGTCCCTATCTTTAACGTTGGTCAGCAAGTGTAGAACCGTAGTTGTAGGTTTATGGGCTACACGGATGTTGTAGGGCTGTAGGATCCGTGAGATGGTCTCGGAAGTGCCCTTAATGTAAGCTATAGTCACTGTAGTAACAGGTGTTGGGTTCCTGTTCGTTGCGTCAGCTTCAGTAGGTGGGTAAATGTTTCGTCTAAATAAGTCAGCGTTGCCGGGTTGTTTTTGTGAAAAACACGTTCAAGGTATCTGTTTTCGTCACGTAAGCTGTCCGGTGTGTCACAAAC